TCTGCTGAGGGTTAAGATGAGGGATGTAATCACTTCCTATCTGGTTCTAAATATTCATCTTCTTTAATGGTCCTTTTGTTTCCCCACCGATTATAGCATAAAGGGTATGCCTGCATATCCAAGGCCCTGTAGAGTCTGGCCCTGTTTGCTCCTCTAACCTTATCTCTTGCCCTTGATCAAGGCATTGCTCTTCAACATTTTTCTGCCATAATGCAAATTTTGTCAGTGGGAACCCCTTCTCACTGGCTTTTTTGTTCTGCTTATATGTCCCAATCATATGTTGAGCACTGCATTTTTTTACTAGCACAACAAGGCATTTCCCAGCCCCAGCCCTGGAATCAAGATATTTTTTAAAGGAGCCCAAGTTCCTTTTAGTGGGGATAGTATTTAGAGACCAATATCAGGGTACTAATTGTGCATGTTATTATGGGAGTATCTTTGCTTCCAGGCTTTCTCAGTGGCTAAAACTAGAGAATTAATGTGTATATAATATGTATGTGCGTATACATATATACACACATTTGAATTTCTATTTCTTTTATCGATCTCTACCTTATCTACCTACCTATTGAATGCCATGATTTCACACAGTTACATCTGTTTCCAATTTGACACCACTGGGGTAATTCTTGTATTCCCTGTCCATATTTGTAACTCTTTTCTCTTGTCGTAAGACACCAGGTTCCCATTATATATTTACTTGCTTGATCAGACTTGATCTGTTCCCCTGTGTGTACTCAGGCTCCCTCTGCTGTAGCCCCCTTCCCACATAGCATGGCTCCCCTCATCCTGTTTGGACTATAACATCTCAGACAGGGCTGTTGCTGTTGCCCCCTCCTACCAGGACAGTGTTCTCAATCGCTTGGACTTTACTTGGCCACCCTTTATGGAAAACCTCCTACCCCTCAGTCTCTGACATCTGCAGGACTACCTTCTGGATGCCCTTTTTACTCTCCTGGGTCCTAATACCCTTGCTGGCCAACCGCCTCTGCTCCACACATAGATTCTACATGCCTACATACACACTCTTCTTACCCCTCTTGAGTTCTGACACTCCAAGCCAGTCTACCCCCGGTGTTGATACCTTCCTTAACCTGTTCAGGCTCTGATTTTCCTTTGCTAGGGAGTCCTCTCACCCTGCTTGGGCCCAGTACACTATGCCAGGTCACCCCTGAGTGGGATGCTCACCACATCCCCATTGGACTCTTAATACCCAGTGCTGGGTCATCCCTCCAGAAGGATAGTCTCCTCTCCTTTCTTGAGCTCTGATGTCCTGCTTCAGAGCACCATTCTCCCAGGTGGCCACCTTCCTCAACTTGATCAGCCTCTGCCACCCTAGTCTGCTACCACTGCCCTTCCACTTTCATACCTGCCTTTCCTGGTGTTATCTAATTACTTTGAAATGAACTATAGAAAGAGAAGTGGGAGAGCTTTTAAAAGTTTTAGATGATTTTCTATTTTAATACTTATGACAAAGAAATGGAATCCCATCATATTCACACTTAATTTATACAAGGTCAGTCATATATGTCTATACGTACACACATGCACACCAGTGTGAATGATTATTCTGGCCATCCATTCAGTGGCGTGAGATTACAAAAGTGAGTCACTGGCTCTCAGTTGGACTTAGTTCCTGAGTTCAGATTAAGAGCGAGCAGCCCACCAAACCAATGGCTTTAGACAGAGAAGGTGATCATTCAGCATGACCTTCAAGCACAGACCGACTATTTGTGTATACACAAACCAGGTCCTGTACTTGGAGGGTAATTTAAAGGCCTTTAAGGGTGATTTTGACCATAGACCATCACTACTATAAGTGCTGTCTTTAGAACCTGCCCTTGTACCAGTTACAAGGGGTTATAGTGCCCCCATGTCAGTAAGGCAGTGGATGTGGGAAACTGTGAGTGCTAGCTGAGCTCTTTTCAAGTTTAAAACTTTGTATCACCTCACACAGAACAAAAGCCTCTCCATTTGACTGTCAGGCCTGGGAGTGAGGCGTAGCCTGGGACAAAGTTACCTAGGCCATAACTGGCTAGAGAAGCTTGTATCCAGACTAGTGCCTGGGAAGAAGCCTGCTTTCCTTTTGGCTTTTACTGATTGGGTCATGGTAATGTTCCATTATAGTTTTCTAAATCAATCCAAACCCTGAACTAAATAAAGCAGTTGGGAAAAATTTTCTGCTTCTCCCACCCAAACTGTTACTCTTTTTTGTGTGTTTCTGACAAGGACCATGGCCTTCTTGAGAGCAGGGCCATTTGTTATTTGTCTTTTCACCCCAGCCTTGGACTGAACCCATCACACAGTGATTCTGCATAAAAACAACAAGTAGAGGCGGCCAGAGATTTTTGCACCCTTTTAGATGTCCAGGGAGGAGCAGCATAATGGAGTGTTTGTTTCCTGTCTTTGGACCAGGAAGTATTGTTTAGCCAATGATGACAGACATACACAGAATGGAGTGGAGGGTCTCCACAACCTCACCTGCAGCCTGGCAGACTGCACAAGCTGTTGTGCAGGCACTAATGAAGCAGTACCGGAAACGCTACTGGATAAAGCTCTGCTGTGAACCCTGGCCTCCCAACAAGGGAAAACAGGGATTCTTTGAAGAAAACAGCTGGGTTTTGGTTTCAAAACCTTAACACTGCCATCACTAGATAGTTGTCTGTCAGTGCACAGGGGACAACATGTGGGGAACAGTTGTGTCCAATCAGGCTAATGGGAGAAAGAAATGGCTGATTTTCAGGGTAACTGCAAAACCTCCCATGGCCAGCATAGCCAAAAAGAAGTGATTTAGTGAGACTGAGTGTGAGAACCAGGGTGCTGTCTGCTGTGGGCCAGGCTGTCCTTACCATGTCCTCTCGTTATGTCAAGGCCGGTGAAGACACTGAGGCTGGAGCTTTTGTGCCAAAGCCATGTGGGTTCATTGAACCTAGTTGTCCAAAGCTGCTTCGGTGAATACTATAGTCCTAAACTCTCAGAATATCCAGCGTGTCCCATACTTCATCAAGTATTCCTTAAATGATACATCTTTTCTCTCATTTACTTGAAGTCGTAGTTGCCTTGCAAGGAATTATTTTTTCTTCTTGCCTTCTCCCTTCCCTCCTGACTTTCAGTTGCTGAATTTAAATGTGGTATTTTGCTTTCAGGAAAAAAAAATTGTAATCCTCAGTAGAATTTGTTTACTAAGAGTCCTCTAATCTGTGCAAGAGTTTTCTTCTGAGGGGGTTTCTTGTTCCTAGTGTGATGGTTTTTAACTCAGCTAAGGTTTATTTAACAGAATAGGAAGGGAGAAACTTATCTCTCCTTAATCCCTCTTGAATGTTTACATTACTCTGCCAAAGTAAATGCTGTGTAAAGTGGCAGCAGTCATTTGGTATGTAATAGTCAATATGCAGCTGCCAGAGCTGATTGAAACATATTAACATAAGTGATAATACTGTCATAAAAGTGAAAAGTTAAGTTGCTTATCAGTATATTTTGATAAGCTACTTAAATTTTGCAGTAGCATGTGCTGGCTTCAGACAGACATTAACGATAGAGGACTGTGCACTTTATCTGTCCTCTCTGTTGCTTCTCACTTCATTTATTACCCTCAGCAGTACAGCAGTAATCTGTACAGGGTGCTGGTTCCCCTTTCCCTGGCAGGATGTCACATATGTGCTCTACATCATGTTCGTCTCTATCAGTAACGGATGCTGTTAGCTCAGCAGGGTGGACATGACCAGGCCAGCAAGTGCTTGGTATGACACTCTTCTCACGTGCCTATTTGATATAGCTTTAGAAAATTTCCTTATAGAGAACAAAGCCATTTAAAGAAAGTGGCAAAATTTCTTGGGGCTAGGGAATACTTTTCAGCAACAATTCTGTAGGACCAATGTGCCTTTATTGTTAGTCATTGTCTAGTTTTATTTGTTCAGTAAATGCTGAGAACTGTTGATGTGCCAGAGTCTGTTCTTGGAACTGGGAAGACAAAGTGAGGAAAGATGTGCTCTGTTCTCTCTGAGCACAACCTGTTGAGAAAACAGACAAGTCATTGAGGATGACATCATGTGAGGCAGTGTGCTCATGACGGAAAATAGTGAATTAGGGCATATGAGTAGAGGACAGGGAAAAGATAGAGGATTAAGGAGGATCAGTAGAAATCAGGTAGAGGGAGAAAAGAACTGAGTGTGCAAACTCAGGCAGGCATGAGGGTACCTGAACATTGGCAGAGTGAGAGAAGCTTGAATATGGGGAAGTAGAGAGAGGACAGCCAGATAGAGGTGGTCAAGGGTCTGACAGCGAAAAGCCCCAAAAGTCATCCTAACAAGTGTGGACTGGATCCTAACTAGATGAGACGTTATTGCAGGAATTTAGTCTAATTATGCGACATAGCTTTGCATTTTAGAAAGACAATTCTGGGGCCACAAAGAGAGTGGCCCACAGGGGTAAGATTAGGAGCCAGTCTATCCCTGGGAGTTAATGGGAGTGATGGCCAGGCAGTGGGGATGGAGAGAGAGAGAGCTCATCTTGAAGTAAACATAGAGAGGGTGTGTGTTAAGTAGAATGCCTACTGTATCCATATGCATGGTTTCAAGCTCATGGGGCTATTGAGGCCCTTTGCAGATGCCTGCAGTGGGAATGCTGTGTGTGTTCCATCACAAGAAATTGAATGGAAACTTTCCTGGGAAAGTGGGTGTGCTGGGAGAGACTGGGGGCAACTTCGAGATGGTACCTGATTGCAGAGTCTGCTTTTGAATTTCTTCGCTCTGAACCTGTTCTAGCTCTGAGGCATGGGAATAATTTATAATGGACATTCAATCCTCTGCCTTACACAGGTAATTTTTTTAACTCTCAGAAATAATTAGCATTTCACCAGTCTATGTTTCCAGCAAAGGCTGTGACAGAAAGACTTTTCAGAATGTAGAGAAAAACTGAAATGTATCAGCCTTGAATTAGGTCCCGGTTAAAGTTTTTGACCTGCATACTAACATTTCATGTGTTTCCTCTTCTTCCTCCAGTTATCTCCCCTGGTTCGAGGTATTTTATAAGCTACTTAACATCCTGGCAGATTACACAACAAAAAGACAGGTATTTGCCTTTTAAAAATAATTTTATATAATAAACTTTAATTTTTATGATTATAAAAGTAATGCATGCCATATATTTCACCAAAATATTTACTAAAAAAGTAATGCATGCCTGTTATAGAAAGCTTGGGAAATTCAGAAAATAGGAAGGAAAAGAAAATCACTTCTAATTTACCCCTACCCCCTTCCCTAAAGTATTGCTAGCATTTTGGGTTATTTTTCTCCTGAAAAAAATTTTTTTTGGTTAAAGAAATGATAAACAGACCCTTAGCATCCACAGAGTTAATATTCACAATTTCTTTTTTTTTTTTGAGTTGGAGTCTCATTCTGTCACCAGACTGGAGTGCAGTAGCCTCTCCCGGCCACCGCAGCCTCGACCTGCGGTGCTCCGGCAATCCTTCCGCCTCAGCCTTCCAAGTAGCTGGAATTACAGGCATGCGCTACCACGCCCAGCTGATTTTTTGATTTATTGTAGAGATGTGGTCTCGCTGCCCAGGCAGGTCTCGAACCCGCGGGCTCAGGCAATCCACTCACCTCAGCCTCCCAAAGGCACGGGATTACAGGCTGAGCCACCTAGCCCGGCTAATATTCACGATTTCTAATATTCCCAAGCAGCCTTGAAAGTTCACGACATATATTAAATTATAATTTTGCTGAGGCACAAATTTGAATTGCTCATGTCATGCTGCAAATCTGGGATTTGCAATTAAAACACTTAACTGGCAAGTGACCTATCTATCTGTCCTGAGTTCCCACTTTAATAAGGCTTTGTGGTGCTTTTACAGTAATTTTTGTGAGAATCTGAAAATTACTTTAAAAGTTCATCTTTACCCTACGATGCCATACTTTTGGAAGAAATGGTAAGGTTTCACCCGTAGATGTCAAAGGCCTATTGGAGCTGTATTTAGACTTTTGTAGCCCACGTCTTCTGGTACTATTATAACAGAATCATTTCTCCCGTACTGTTAAAAATGTTGTAAAATTTTTCCTGACTGCATAACATTATATCATATACCTTGATTTACTGAAACAATTCCCTGTTATTGGAATTTTTGTTATTTGGGATTTCTTACTATTATAAGTATAACCATTAGCATCTTTGACCATAAAGCATTTTTAAAATTTTGTGTTCTTTCCTTATAAGGAGAATCCCAGATGGGTATACTAATAAGATCATTGGACATAAACATTTTTGAAACAAGCTGCCAAACTGCTACTATTTTCTTAAAGGATACTCTTTACCAGCGTGTAAGAGAGTGCTTAGGTCATGATACTCTCACCAGTATCATTTGCTGAATTCATTGTTTATTTGACAGGTAAAAAGTCTCATTGTTTTAATTGGATTTTTTTGATTATTAGTGAGTTGAATATTTTTCCATATATCTAATGTTTTATAATTTCCTTTTTGTAAATGGCCTAAGTTTTTAAATTAAAGTGATCTATTATACTTAAATGTAAAAGAAAATTTTCCCTTCATTTTTTTTCTGCTGAATACTTGTTCTGAGAAATGTTCCATATCATAGTTAATATCAGGATCAGGGGAAGGGAAAACTGTGTTTCATTTTTGTCTCCTTAAGATTCATATAATATAGGTTCTGAGAAGTCCTACAGTGGAGAAACCTGTGTTACTTGGTGATTCCCATCTCATTTTGCCCCAAACCCTTTTTATTCCATGATAAATATTAATATTCCAAGATAGCAGTGTTTCCTAGGACATACTTTGAGAAATGCTGTTTTGGAGGAAAGGGAGAAATTGTGTGTATAATAGATAAATCTTTTTTTTCTTAAGAGATAAGATTTACTTACTGGCAAATGTATTTCATAGATAACAGTAAATAGAAGGAATAACTAATAGAAATTGCTTTTTGATTACTACATTCACTGTGAAAAGAAACTTAGATGTCGGGGATTCTGTCATTAAAGAAGTGGTTTACTCTTTGATGAATGAATTAGGAGGTCACTTGGGTCTGTTCATCGATTTCTGCTTCACATATATTTTTAGTCAAACATTCAGGTTTTCACTCAAATTTGAACCCTATCTTTAATAAAAATAGAATTGTATTGCATGTAGGCTCTTAACAGTTTTTGAATTAGAGATTGACTCCCCTTTTTTTTTCTTCACATGCTCTAGTCAGTCAAAAACAACAAAACAAGGAAATTAGCACACTGATTAAAATATGTCATCTGATTCAGGAAATAGGGGGCATCTAGGTGGAGAAGGAGGTGAGGGCAGCAATTAAAGAGTAGCTCCATACAAAGAAGTAAATAGATTAAGAAAATAGGGCAAGGTTTTTCACTTTTGTAGAATGAAGTCACAAATACGTAAATGGAGAAAACTAGAATAATTCCTGTTGGTTTTGAATTGGAGTCATTGTTGTGAACCCATGACTTTTGATATGGGGAGATAGACATAGAAATAAATAGAGATGTAAAGTGTCTTGCAGGTAGAGGTGTGTGTGTGTATTATATTCTCTGACTCTAAACACTGAAAGGGCCTGGCATCAGCACACTGAGTAGCAATGAACACACCTGGTACCCAGATCTTGGTTTCTAAATACCATTCCCCACTGAAGGGAACCAGGGCTCTTTGAAGAAATAATCTGCGGCAGTGAAATTATAAGATGAGCCTGAAATAATCATTTGTGTCAAAAAGTAAATAAGTGCTCATGACATGATGGGAGCATGTCACAAAGACACAGAAGTGCTTAAGAGATTCTCACTGGTCACATATGGAACAATTTGAGCATCAAAAGAAATAATGATAAAAGGATTACAGCACACTGTAAAACAGGAAACCATGTGTCACAGTAATATAAATAAGTACATAGATAAATGGAAAGTTAGAGGAATGGGATATTTACATAAAGTATCATTCCACAAAATACTCACTTAATACAAAAGGAAAGAGTAACCTCACTGCAGAAACATCAGATGAATAAATCAAATGATGAAAGCAATCATCACCAATAGAGGGACAAATTGAATTCTGGATCATGAAAGCATATCAAAAATTGAGAGTCATTCTACAAAATGGATGGTCACTGTCAAAATAATACAAATCTAGGAAAGACTAAGGAGCCGTTTCAGACTGAGAAAGACCAGAGAGTCATAACTACTAAATGTAACATGTGATTCTGAACTGGATTGTTTTCTGCCAAGTGTGTTACTGAAACGGTTGGCAAAACTTGACAGAATCTTGGGATTAGATGGTAATGCTGCATCAATATTAATTTCCTGACTAATATCACAGACTAGGTAATCTATAAAGAAAATAAATTATTTGGCTCAATGTTCTGGATGCTGAGAAGTCCAAGAATATGGTGCTGGTATCTGGTAAGGGCCTTCTTGCTGGGTCATAGCATGGAAAAATGACAAGCAAGCACTTGAGACAGAGACACAAGAATGGGACCCAAACTTATCTTTTTTACCATGAGCCATCTATGAGGGCAGAACCCTCATGACCTAATCACCTCTTAAAGGTCTTGTCTCCTAATAGCGTCACAATGGCAATTAAAATTTTAACACATGAACTTTTAGGGAATGCATTCAAACCACAGCAATGATTATTTATGCTTATGTAGGAAATGTATTTGTTTGTATCTATCTATGGATGATGGAGCATAATCTTGACAAGTCAACCTCACATAGTTCAGGAAATTTTTAAAAATGGTTTTCTGAACCATTTCTACAACTGTTCTGTAAGTTTGAGATTGTTTTAGAGCAGAGAACAAAACACGTGTGCACACACACCTGTAAATTCATTTCCCTCTTCTGTGAGAGGCTTTGTTTGATTTTTCAGAGTTCAGATTGAAACAAGCTTGTAGTCTAGGCTCATCCTCTTTTTCCTCTCCTTATATTCACTATCAAAGACAGTTGTATTGAAGTCAAGAGGGCTCCGGAACATGCATTTCACCTGCTTGCTGTGTAGCTTACCAACTGGCTGATTTGAGACAAGTTTCTTCATCTTGTGGAACCTCAGTTTTCACATCTTTAAAGTGGGGTAGTTGGAAGATCAAATAGATAGCAAATAGATACAAATGTAGACTTATATTAGCACAAAGAATTACACAGGGTCGAAGAAATGACATTTGGATAATTCTGTGAGCAGTGTTCTTTTGAACATTTTGAAGGTGAATCTGTTTGCAATCAAATAATTTGTACAGCTTTGTATGTCATTATGTTGCTCAATTTCACTAATTAAAATGCACAGCCATCATCCTATATTGCATGCTGTTGTGCTTAGTTCATTTCTAACTTTCCATAATTGGAGGCTGCCATGTGTACCCAGTGAACATTCAATAAAATTAATTGAGGGTAATGATGATGAAGACAAGATCTATAGTGTCATCGTTATTTCTCCCAGCCACCTCCGCCCTCTTAGCTAGGATTGTTTGCATTTAAAAGCTGTTGCTATGGAGTTGAGGGGATAGATTTGCTGAGAGCTTATGGTATATGATCCATAAAAGGCGGTCATGGTAGGTGTCTCACTTAGTAGAAAATGTCAAACTTGGTGTGGGAGGATCTATTTGGCTCTTATGTTTGAGGCATATGCAGTGTCTTTTGTCCAACCCTACATGAATATCAAGCCTATTTCTGACATCTCCCAAACCCCCTCAGTCATGTATGCCCAGACCTCCCTGGAGGTAAGGGCTCAGCCTTGCTTTTGTTATTTAGGCCTTTTATTTCTTTCAGGAAAATCAGTGGAATGAGCTTCTTAAAACTCTGCACAAACTTCCCATCCCTGACCCTGGAGTGTCTGTTCATCTCAGCGTGGTAAGTGAGGTAGAATATTAACTATCCCTGAGAAACCATTTCATTATTAATGGTAAGAGGGAGTTAGTAGAACAGGATCATCTTCTGTCATCTGCGCTGCCCCCACCCTCACCCTTGAATACTGTGAGACCTCTGGGTTCAAGGCAGGCAAGAGAGTGGAATTTCTTCCTTTCTTGGAGACTCCATGAGGAACGGACAGGTCCTAAATGTCCCCAGGCCATCTTCCTATCACCAGCATCTCCTGGATCACAGATGCTAGGCTGGAATAGGATAGCTGGCCCTTGTCTGCCTCTTTAGTCCCTGTCCTGAGATCCCTGCATCACCCTTTGCCCTCCAGCACTGCTGTACATCTCCATTTGCTGAATGAAGTCCATCCTCTCTTTCAACATTGCTTCTTCCCTGTTTGCCAGGGTAACACATTTTTATCCTTCAAAACTCAACTCTGATTTTATTTCCAGAGAAATCCTCCCTTGATGCCTTGCAGGCTTAGCTAAGATTGCCTCCTTTGTCCCAAGCGTCTTGTACACTTAGCAGTACTTAGTTACAACATATTGGAATGATCAGTTTTCCTTTTTCCCTCATTGGACCACATGACCCTTGAGGACTGAGAAGAAGAGCACTTAGCGTAGTTCCTGGCCTACGGTAATAGTTTCTTTTAATGCTTATAAATATATACTACTACATGTTCTACAGTGTTCTCGGCGGGGAGGGGGTGGGTAGGAGGGGATCCTCTGAACTACCAGTTGGGAGTTTTCAGTCCTAGTCATCATCTTGCCAATGGCCTGTGTGACCTTAATCAAGACCTTTAACCTTGTGGACTTCAATTTCCTCATCTGTCAGATGAGGCATCAGAAGAGGTGTAGGAGATCTTTTCCATATTTCAGTTACTAGAATTCTCTAATTCCCTAGGTCAAAACCTTGTGATTACCTCCATCAGAATTCTCGGATGGACACCCTTTGGCCAGGTATTAATTATTATCCAAGGGCTGTTTCCCCTATGTCATAGGGCCTAAACATTTTAAAAGTTTTGTCTTTCAGCTTCATTAGAACCAGGTACAGTATTGGTATTCAGTTGTTAAGATATCTGCCCTCCTAAAGAATATTAATATTTCTTATAGGTTTTTCAGAGTGGTAGCAAAATTAAAAGCAGTGTTACTACCAGTAACCCACAATAGATCTACTATTTTATTGAGTTCCTAATTTATGCTAAATGCATATTTGTAATGTTCAAAATAACTCTACAAGATAGATATTAACATTCCCATTTTGTAGATACGGTGTATAATAAGAGATAAGATTTGGGTTTTCAAACCCAGGGCTAACTTCAAAGCCTATGTTTTTTCCCCATGCCATGTGTGTTGAAGGAGAGGGAGGGAAGGAAAAACAAACAAATGAATTTCAGAGGTTTTGCTCATTTTGATAGAGCATAGGAAAGAAAAAAACCTTTATACAAAAATTATCATAAAGTTGGGGAGGCTGTCTGAAAAAGTTGACAAATGAGCTTTAAAACAGCCCCAGTCATTGCTGTATAGCTAAGCAACCCTGCCTTTGTCTCTGTTCCTTTTCCTAAGCAGCTTAATCTCACTGCTTGAGTCTGTAATGACATCCGACAGGTAGCCGTGGAGTAGCCTAGCTGGGTCACCAGGAAGGGCCACTCCTTCCCCAATGGCTGCACAGGCTGCTTGTCTGCCAGGCCTCAAGGACAAGCCATCCCAGGGGCAGCAGGAACTGTTGGGGTGGTGCAGCTGTTTCATGCCAGTGGTTTCTAGGAATGTTTCTGACCTCCCATGGTCCCCAGCATTTCATGGGCAATGGAGCAAGACAGAATCTCAAAGGACAGCCTGGGGTCTACTTGGTTTTGGAATTGCATTTGCTCACTATTTACAATCCATTGCATCTGTAAAGGCAGTCACTTTTTCTTTCCTGTTACTAGGAATGCCTCTCTCCCTATTGCATTTCTGATTTTGAAGGGTTAGTCTCATCTAGGTTGAAATGTTGGAAAAATGGTAACCCTGGACTTTTTGTCTTTAGTCATTCACTGCAAGAGAATATTTCTATGTGTCTGACATAGGTGATTGAGAAAAACAGAAATGTAAGCTAGTAGTTCAGAGCAATAATAATTTTATTTACTGAATGCTAGGAACTTCTAATATATAATATTTATATATATTATATATATATAATATATATTTATTCTTCATGCCAGTTTTGAAGTAGTAGATATTACGATTCCCATTTACAGATTTAAAAACTGAGGCTCTGTGCTATATAGTGAAGGTGTTAAACTCACATAGCTATTAAATGGTTCGCATAGCTATTAAGAACTCTATGGACTGAGTTCTTTCTCTCTCACTGTGCCAAACCATTACTTGGTGACTCTATCACCATGTGACTATCTTTTATTGAACTGAACTTCTTGCCTTTTGGTATGGAGGTTGATATCTCATGGAGTCAAATTTGAACTTTATATTTTACTTTTCCTGTTTTAATCCTTATTGAATTAAGTATTTACTGGTTTCCATGCTACACCATCTCTACTGCAATACGTCATAGGTAATAATTTTGCATACATACAAATTTTGGAATAGTGCATTGCAGGAGGTTTTTTAAAGTTATCTTTTTAATTATTTTTTTTAGTTTATTATTTTAATTCAAGTTCCTTTAGCTGTAATTTTTCACATAAAAGTCCAGGTATTAGTCTTTTATAGTGGAAAGAGCACAACTCTAGTTGTTTAGTCCTTGATCTGCCACCTACTAGCTGTGTAACCTTAGACTGATTATATCTTTGAGCATTAATATACCAATTAGTAATATGGAGATAATATCTATCTTACAATATAGATATAGACATTAGAAGTAATATTTATAAAGTACTTGACATAATATTTTCCATATAGCAGCATTCAGTAAATAGCTGTTGAGTATCAGACAAGTAGCTCATACTATTATTGTTGTTACTGTCATTATTACACTTGTCCCAGGGCCTTTCATTTCAGAAGACCTATACAACTCATTCTTCTAGAGACCTACTTATGTTGCAATTACCCAAGAATAGGGATGGGAAGACTTCCTGAAATGTCACTTGGGGGTCCATGCTTGAACTTAGGCCATCCATAGCTAAGCTGACCTTCTCTGCATGTGACCTTTTCCTGGCCTTTGCACAATCCCATCTTTAATTGGCCAGCACCAGGCTCTTTCCATTCCTGCTTGCTATTGTCCTCTAAGTCTTTAGTAGCAGCAGAGGAGATGTCATCAGTTCAGCCTGTTGTCATTTAACTGAGGGACACATGCTTGTTATATACATAGAGATGCTTCATTGAAAGTTCTTTGAAGAGGTCGATTTTTCAACTCCACTGAGTCTCCAGCTCCCTTCAGTGCAGATCCCAGTGGAAATTTGGAAGTTTATTTGCAGAGTATGCTTAGTGGACAGAGTTTCTCCTCTGTTAGCCATCTGTAATGGTCCCACTTAGTAGTCCTTCAACTGGAGCTGTTCCTGACATCAGTTAGGTTTTTGGGACAGATTTTCCCACATTTTGTAGTTGGGTGTAATCTCAGATGCTGAAATGAAATGCCAGGTTTTATTAGTAAAGACCATCACTGAGTGAATCTAGTGATATTTTGTCCCTAGAAGCCATTTGCCTCATTGAACAATAAATTGTGAACTATCAGCACGTTTCGTATGTTCAGAAATCTGCAAACATCATATGGGAATTTAACCTTTAACTTCTTTGAGCTCTTCATTTATGTCTCCCAAAGAAGTTCATCTCTCATAGAAAAGAACCAAACTTATGATTTAACACATTTGGTTTAACCCAACAATATCCAAAAAAAAAAAAAAATTCCATGGATATTTCCTTACTCAGATGAGGAAACAGAGTTTCACTCATAGGAAATAGGAAACTGTTTCTTCATCTGAGTAAGGAAATATCCTCTGATTACTTACCTGAATTACGAGTAATGTGATTGTTATACATTTAGCAAAAATAAACAACTTTTGCTTTTCTTTTCCAGCATTCTTACTTTACTGTGCCTGATACCAGAGAACTCCCCAGCATACCTGAGAATGTGAGTACTTGGGAAGAAAAGTTAAATTTTTGTTTTTCTCTGTTTTATACTTATTTTTGAAATAAATAAAAGGATACTTTTAAAACTATAATTATAAAAATTACAGTTTTAAGAAAGAATGAATTATAAAAACAAGAAAAATATAAAAGCAAAATGTGTTATAAAAGCAAAAATCAATAGCAAATACTTGCAAAGTATAGAAAATATAAAGACAGAGGGATTGTTATTCATAATCCTCAATGTAATTACATACTAGCATGTTAATATTTCATTCCAGTCTTTATAGAATGTATTCTATTATAAAAGTATCTTTTCTATTTTCATTCGTAAGAATCATTTTTGTTTGTAACATTTCATTTGCTATATTTATTTAACTATTCCCTCACTGTTGAACATTTAGATTCTCATTTCTGCCATTTAAATGAAATGTTTATATTTAAAGAGTTTTCTATGTAGATATTTCTTTATTAGAGCTGATTTGCTCAAGTTTAATTACATTTCTATTTCTTATGTTTGTATATTCACTTTTCAGAGAATAAAATATTTGTGGGTAAAGTGTGAGGATCCCCATCCCTACCTCTTAAAGATTTAGCAGTAAACTAGAGTGTGAGAGAGCAGAAGGTTTATGTTTGCCTTCTGAACTAGCTGAATAACACATCCAGTCTGGCCTTGCTACACGTTTTCTAAATGTTTTACTCTGATTACAAATAGTACTATATACAATCAAATAAAGACTATCTACCACTTAGACACTTGATTACTTTTGAATAGTTGTAAATATGCATCACATAAAATTTACTATCTTAACCATTTTTAAGTGTACATTTCAGTAGTTTCAAGTACATTCATATTGTTGTGCAATCATTGTCCAGACTCTCTTGATCTTGCAGAACTGACATTCTGTACCCATTATGCAATAATTTCCCATTCTTTTGTCTCTTCAGTGGTTGAAGAGAACATCATTCTATGTTCTCTGTCTATGAATTTGACCACTCAACATAGTACCTCATATATACTCAGTTATTTCACTTAGCATAATGTCTTCAAAGTTCATCTATGTGTCATTGTTTCATAATAGCTTTTTTTTTATTTATTACTTTTTTTTTTTTAACTCACCACTGTACTAACAAAGAAGAATGGCTTTCTTTTTTAAGGCTGAATAGCATTCTATTGTATGTGTATACCACATTTTGTTTATCTATTCATCTGTATATCGACACTTGGGTTATTTTCCCCCTTTGGCTGTTGTGGATACTTTGAACATTGGTGTACAAATAACTATTTGAATTTCTGATTTCAGTTCTTTTGGGTATATCCTTGAATACATTGTTAGTTTTTTTAAGTACTGGAACACTTGGTAGATATTTTCATAACTACTATAGATTCTCAGAAAGGAAATTTTTCTCTTGTCTATAGAACAGATAAAAATGTCAAGTAATCAAATGTAATTAATGAAATTAGACTGTAGTATTGTGAATAGATAAGTCTTAATAAGTTGGGGTTGTTGGGTGTATCCATAAAGTTTATTATCTATATGATTAGGCTGTGGTAGAAGATGTTGCTACTTTTTTGTTTGACATTAATAAAAATTTAGACGCAAGTTCCCATATCAACAACAATAGCTAATATTTACTGAGTACTACTGCTTGTCAAATGATATATTCAGTGCTTTTCTCTATTTTCTCATTTACCCTCTCTGAACAAGCTTACGTGGTAACTACCATAATTATTCTCATCTTATATAAGGAAACAGAAGCCCTGAGAATTTAAGTGACAGATTCAGTGTCCTACTGCAAAGAATTTGTAAAATCAGAATTCAAACATTGATATTTCTGATTTTCAAGACTGAACTCTTGTATACTGTGCAATAGTTTTTGTCCATGATTTTTCCCTTTTCTCTCTCAAAAAAATTCCATTTAGCTGGGTCTGGTGGCTCATGTCTATAATCAGAGCACTTTGGGTGGCCAAAGCAGAAGGACTGCTTGAAGATCAGCCTGGGAAACATACCAAGACCCTGTATCTACAAAATTTAAAAATTAGCCAGGTATGGTGGCATGTGCCTATTGTCCCAGCTGCTTGGGAGGCTGAGGCAGGAGGATTGCTTGAGCTGAGGAGGGTCAGGGCTTCAGTGAGCCATGGTTACTTATACCACTGCACTCCATCCTGAGTAAGAGATCAAGACTCCATCTCTTTAAAAAAAAAGATTCCATTGAAATGATAAAAACAATATAAAATTAAGGGGTAAATGTCCCCTTAATGGTTGAAGAGGCTGCCATGATCCAGAAAGTTTGGGAATTTATGCAGCACAAAGGAGATGATCGCTGATACATAGCAGTCAATTCAGTGTAGACAATGGAGAAATCCAAAAAGAAGTGGAAACATACTATAAGAAGGACAGAAGTAACCCATAGCAAAAGGCTATTGGAGCATTATTTTGAAATGCCATGACACATTTATAAAAATTGATCATGTACTAAACCACACTGAACTTTTCAAAATGGAAAAAGTCAGACTAGGTGCAGTGGCTCACATCTGTAATCTCAGTACTTTGGAAGGCTGAGGCGGGAGGATTGCTTGAGCCCAGGAATTCGAGATCAATTCCTAGGAAATATAGGACTGGTGTCTACAAAAAATCTAAAAATTAGCTGGGCATAATGTTGTCCCACCTACTTTTGTCCTTTTGTCCCACCTATCTTTTGTTCCACCTATTCAGGAGACTAAGGTAGAAGGATCACCTGAGCCCAGGACATTGAATCTGTGGTGAGTTGAGATCACTCCACTGCACTCCAGCTTGATTGACAGAGTGAGACCCTGACTCAAAAAAAGAAAAGAAAAGAAAGAAAAGAAAAAATAAGAGTCTTCCAGATCACTGTCTTTTTTGCAGTGAAATAAAACTACAGATTAATAATAAAGTTTTTACAAAAACGTTCATCTACTTGAAATAGCAGTTGGATCAAAGAGGATTAAAAAAATTGAAGTTAGTAGTTATCTAAAAATTAATAACAATGAGAACACTACTTAAGAATGTGGCCAAAACCATAGTCAGAAGAAAAGTCATAGCTTTAAATGCTTTTATAGAAATAAGAAATTTAGAAAATAGTATCTTGACTTCTTGATTGAATGAGCCATAAAAAGGAATAGTAATAAAAAAGATGAAACTAGAAAAAGGAATTATAATTTAATTTATTAGGAAATATTGTTAAAGTAAAATTTAAAAAATAATATTTTCTAAAAGTGGAATTTTTTAAAAGAATAAAAAAGATTTTTTTTTTTTTTTTTTGATTTGGAGTCTCACTCTGTCATCCAGACTGGAGTGCAGCGGCCGCTCCCGGCCACTGCAGCCTCGACCTACTGGACTCCGGCGATCCTTCCGCCTCAGCCTTCCAAGTAGCTGGAACTACAGGTGCGTGCTACCATGCCCAGCTAATTTTTTTTTATTTATTGTAGGGATGAGGTCTTGCCAAGTTGCCCAGGCGGGTCTCAAACCCACGGGCTCAGGCAATCCACTCACCTCGGCCTCCCAAAGCACTGGGATTACAGGCTGAGCCACCGAGCCTGGCCAAGAATAAAATTTTAATCCAGTCTTCTTTTGATGGACAGCATGGTTGGTTCCAGGTTCTTGCTGTTGTGAACAATGCTGCAATAAACATACGTGTACAGGTATCTTCGATGGAATACTACGCAGCCATAAAAAAGAACAAAATCATGAGTTTCGCAGCAGCCTGGATGGAACTAGAGTCTATAATACTGAGTGATCTCTCACAGAAACAAAGATCTGAGTATCACATGTTCTCACTCATATAGTGGACCTTGAACATCTATCGTAATACTATAAGAAAAGGATTGACAGTGATGGAAAACTATGGGGGGGGGAGGTGGGATTAATGGTAGTCAATATCTGTCTGGGGATGGGGAGACACCCCTTATCAACAAGGGTGCCTAAACAATGCATATTTGTGTACCTAACTCTTAACTGTACCCCACAATTTTAAAATAAAAAATATTGATTTTAAAAAAGAATAAAAATTTAAATTTATTCAATAATTTGAAAATTGTGAAAATAGAACATTTGCTAGAAAAATATAAATGATTAAAGTCAATCTAAAAATTAGGCAATATAAACATAGAAAGATAACTTGAAAAATAACCAGACACAGTGGCTCACGACTGTAATCCCAGCACTTTGGGAGGTGGAGGCAAGAGGATTGCCTCCACCTCAGGGGTTCAAGACCAGCCTGGCAGCTTGGCAAGACCTCGTCTCTATAATAAACAAAAAAAATTACCTGGGCATGGTGGTGTGCACCTGTGGTTCCAGCTACTTGGAAGGCTGAGGTGGAAGGATTGCCTGAACCCAGCAAGTCCAGGCTGCAGTGGCCATGAGCATGCCATGACACTCTAGCATGGATGACAGAGTGAGATTTCGACTCAAAACAAACAAAAAATATTTTCTTTGGGACTAGTCTGTTTGTTTTTGCATAGGTAGTATTTGCTCTATTACCAGTGTTCTGGAAGCTGGATGGGAATGGTGGGTTATGGTGTTTCGACATCTAGTATGGATACCTTCATTTAATCCTCAGACCTTTCTGGTTCAGATCCATCTAGAAAGCAACTGTTGGGAGCTGGCCACTGAGCGTTAGGGATCAGGAAGGACCGTTGACCCTGAGACCACTAGGATGCGTTGGGAGCTATTGACCCCATTTCCTCCCCCTTTCTGCTCAGCACTAACCAGATTAAGCTCCTGTGAACTCAAAACATAAAAACTCTTTAGAAGCTCATTGCTCCCATTCTTCCACAAACTGCAGTTTTGGCTTTCAAACAACTTATAATTCAAACTCGGGTCACATCTAAGAGCCTTAGTATTGGTCACAGGCTTCTGGGTCATGATCTTAGGATTTATTGAAGTTGAATAAATGGATTAAGGTTTCATCGATTAGGTTATGGGATTATATCTGAAAGAACATCCGGTGGGTGGGGAACGCCCCTCACATACCCGACTGTGT